TGGTTGCTTGCTTGCAGACATTTCAATACCAGACTAGGTAACATTATCAATACACGGATTATGTTATTTAGTTGAATAATGAGCCAATGCAAGCAAACAACCAAGCTCAGAGAGCACCAAAAATTTCACAGTTCAACCTTGAGCTATAGAATATACTGAAAATGAACTGGTCTAAATATGACAGGTTTTACAGATAATAGTGGAGAAGCTGTTGCCAAGAGAAGGACATGACCTGTAAAATGAGGATACAGAACAGGAATATTCAATATCCTTTGGCAACTAAAAACAAAAATATTAAAACTAATGGGAAGGGTGGAACATACATGGAAACTAGCAACAAATAACTAGCAACTTCAAACTTATTAGCTAAATTAGAGAAATGGTTTGAAAATAACAGTATGAAATGCAGGCTTCAATTAACAAAAATAACATCAAATGCAGATGTACAGAACTGAGGTGCAAAGTGGATACATACATACATAGATGTGGTGTGTGTGTGTGTGTGTGTGTGTGTGTGTGTGAGAGAGAGAGAGAGAGAGAGAGAGAGAGAGAGAAATGGATTCCAGCAGTGAAAAAGCCCAATTTAATTATGTAGTTGACAATTCCTAGGGAGTAAGAGCTCCTTTAGTCTCTGACTCAATTCCCATCCAGACAGGTACAAGAAAAAGAGAGAGTGCATGCAAATGATAAGAAGACTGGGAACGGAGTCCTAAGCGTATAGACTGAGCAAACTGACTGTATTTAGCCTTGAGAAAATCTGAAAAGGGGAGACAAACAATAAGCCTTCCCATATCTAAAATACTGTACAGAAGTCAAATCCTTCTCTCCATCAATCCCAAGAGAAGACACAGAATATGAGTGAATTTACAAGAAAGTAGCTTTCAGTTGGATTATATTCCTGTACAATCTTAAAAGAAGTTTAGCAAGAATTAAACCGAGGAGGGGAGGGACTCCCTTCACTGGATGCATTCAAATAGGACCTGAAAAACAAGCTAGCCAAAAAGTGGACTTGGTGTCCTCTTCCAAGTTCCTCTAGTGGGAACACAGATTACTAGAACTCTAAATATGAGAATGTGGGGTTGATACAGAAGAACTGGCAAACAGAAGTTTCTTTTTCCTGTGTCGGTATCTCTCAGGGCCTTATTTATGGCAGCTCTCCCATATTCTTCACTGCTAGCTGACTTACAAGAGCACTGTAAGGAATCAGATGACCTTGACATGGGTGGACCATATCTGTTACCAAAATGACAAGGGGAAAAACATGGTTTAAGTCTGAAACAAGAAGGCCTAGGCAAAAGACGCAGACAGATACTTCCCTAATTAATATGAGTCTCAGGCAGGGTGGGGCAGAGAGAGAGAGAGTAAAGTATAGTCAGACTTGCAAGATTCTGTTACTATGGCCAAAATTAAGAAAAGTACGGTAATTTTAGCCTTGAAATGAAGTTGATTTCTTAGTCTACATCAGTGTTTTTCAACTTCAAACTCCTAGAATTTCCAAGCCAGCAAGGGTATACAAAGAGGCACAATGCAAATTGGGGACAATTTGTGAGTAACAGAGGGTTGAGGGAAGGTACTTGAGGGTCAGAGAGATGCAGGTCGGGGAGAGTGCATAGGTCAGTGGAGCAAATGCAGCAAGGTGTGTGTGTGTGTGTGTGCATGTGCATGTGTGCGCGCGCACTAGTAGACAGCCGAAACTCAGAGGGATTGGAGGAGGGCACATGGTTGGTGGAGACTTATTCCAACAACTTGCAAACTTCCCTGCTATTGATTCTCTGGGGAAGCCAATAGGGAAGGTTGCAAATGATGATTCTATGATCACAGCACTTGGCAACAGGTTGCTCTTAGATGTGACCACAGAATGCTGCAACAGCCAAAACTCATCATTTGTTCAGGACAGTTGTAATTTGGAACATTGTTGACCAAATAGTCATAGGTCAAGGTCACCCGTATAAGGAATGCCTTTGTTGACATTTGAGGTATCACCGTAGAAGCAGGAATGTAGGCGGATGATGCTGTGCTGTTGAGAGATTATGTACTAAGGGAAGCAAGCAGAATCCAGTCACAAAAACAAGTATATGAAAGAATAAGTGGGAGAGGAAGGGAAGACTCAAGAGAGTCATGCTAAGAAGCTGATGAGATCCTCAAACAGAGAGGAGCGAAAGCTTAAAGAGCCCAAGGCAGCCAATGAAAAAAGTGTGAATGTGGTGGGAGTTTAAAGAGAACCCTTCATAAAAACAAAGATACAAAGAGTTACAAGGTAATGGAAATGGCATATACTGGCTTTTGTTATAATTTCCTTTCTATGCTTTCTATGTTCTATGCTTTCCCTGAAAGGAAAAATATAATGCATATATTTGTATTATTTCAATCATTATAATAAGGTTCTAAACTGGAGGCTGGAATTCTGAGCATCACAAGAAAAGTGTAGAATCATGTTTTTAAAAACTGCTCAGGCTTTACAGAGAGATCACTGTTAAAAACCATCCCAGATTTTGCCTGTGTGGTTTTTCTTTTAAATTCCGTTCAATCCTGTCAGATACTTGCAGACTACTAGCCAAGACCAAGCAGTTTTCTTGCCAAGATTTTTCAGAAGTGATTTGCCATTGTCACCTTCCCGGGGCTGAGAGAAAGTGACTGGCCTAAGGCTGCCCAGCTGGCTTTATGCCTAATGAGGGACTAGAACTGACACTCTTCTGGGTTCCAGCCTGCTATCTAAACATTACACCAAACTGACTCTGCATTTGCAATAAATGTTTCAGGTTGTGAAAGTTCTTTATATAGAGATTGAAAAATCCCAGAAACAGAATGGAAGAGTTAAACAGGCTCTCAGAGGACCTCAAATCAGGGATCCCCAAACTCTTTAGTTCACTGACCTTCCCATGAAATATACTGAGGAAGCTTATACCATCATGGAATGGCTATTCCTGATCCACTTTTTTGTAAGATGTAGCTGAATTTTCCATTTCTAAAACAATTCTGAAGAATTCTGCTGCAAAATTAGATCAGGGGTATCCAAACTTGGGAACTTTGACTTGTGGGAATTCTGGGAGTTGAAGTCCACAAGTCTTAAAGTTCCCAAATTTGGACACCCCTGCTTTAGATAGTCTAAGGCAGGCATGAGCAATTAATTTTCCCAAGGGGCCATATATGAAACTGAGACTGTTGTGGAGGGTCGAACCAACAGTGCTACTCCCTGCCCTGGCGGCCCCCAAAGGCCACATAGGAACCGTCAAAGGGCCGGTTGTGGCCCACAGGCCGTAGAATACCCAGGTCTGCTCCAAGGTTATTGGAATGTTCTCTTCCTCAGGCTAATGATACCAAATACCTTCAACTATTCTCTTTCTTTTTCCCTATTATTGGTTTCTGTCTTCTATGTCCAGTTTGTCCTACAATATTGCACCTAGAGCTAGGCTTAATATTCTACATGTAACTTGAGTGTGACTTCTGCTTTTGACAGTCTACTTCTGCTGATGAATGTAAGACATGACATGCAACTCTCCAAACTTGCACCGCCTGGTCTTTTCTGACAAAGATCCGACCTTCAGAGAGAGGATCCTTCTCATTTCCCCTCAGAAACACGCTAAACTTCCATCAACTCAGAAATAGATCCCCTACAGATCCGGAGAACTCTTTTTGGGCCATGGAGTTGGCAATCGTTTCCTGTCATGGAGAAGTGGAAGCTCCAAAAACTAGAAGGGAACTCCTGGAAGAGGCACAAGAAAATTATGAAGGAAAACTGCAAGCCTTCTTCCAATTAAAAGATGAGAAATCTCTAGCCTTCCTTCCCCTAAATGCCATTAAGTGTGATTTGGAGCTGCTACAAGGATACCCTTGGCAGTACAGATAGCCACCTCCAAAACCTGCCTGGATTCCTCAGGGCATTTTCAGCATTCAAACAGGCTTCACAACCTGGACCTTAAAGGGTGGACTTCAGCGTCCAGGATTCTCTCTACTGGCCCTTCTTGATGGCTAGGAATTCTGGAAGTGGAAGGCCCCGGACGGCTGCCCCATGGAAAGATTGGCACACCAACCAAAACTCCTGCCAGGTGGTGCAAAGGGGCCACCCCATCTGTCAGTTGGCCATTTCTACCTCTAGCTCAGTGTTTCTAAACCTTGGCAACTTTAAGTCCTGTGGACTTCAACTCCCAGAATTCCCCAGCCAGCTGGGGAAGGACTTAAAGTCGCCATGGTTGAGAAACACTACTCTAGCTGGCCAGATGTTGCAGGAAACTGGCAAGGCCCAGAAAGGGATTCCCCTCAGGCCTTCTTGATAAGGCAGCTGCCCTTCGGGTTCTCATGGCGGCCTGGAGTTGAAAGGGCCCATTGGGACCACTCACCTCCAAACTTGAGGCAACTCCTCTTTGCTCAACTCTGGCAAAGTAGTAACGGAAGCCCTCAAAGTAGTTCTTGTTACATGAAAAAGAATCCCAGCAAATTCTAATTTCTGGCTGAGAGACTCCTGGGGGGGGGCATTTAAGGGGGAGGTGGCCCCCCTCTTCTTTCCCTCTGGAGCCCCTAATCCAGGCAGCTCCACCCGAGGGGCTTCCCTCCCCCTCCTCCCCTCCTCTCCAAGGAGGGATGACCTGAGCCACTTTGGGGGACTGAAAAGGCCTCCTTCTCATCTCACTGGCGCTTCCCAAAGAATCGGGCTGCAGCAGCAGCAGAAGATTGGAGGTCACAAAATGTCGGGGCCGCACAAAGGAAAACCTTCCCAGTCGGAGGGAAGGGGCTTCGCTCAGCCTGGGGGGGGGGGGGCGAAGGGAGCCCCTGCCTGATCTTTGCCTGACCCATTGGAAGAGGCGGGGAGGACGGTCCTCTCCCTCGAAGCCAGAGGAGCCATTGGGCCGCTGAGAGGAGGAGGAGGAGGGGAACCGAGCGTGGGCTCAGCATCTCGCGGGCCCCGGGAAACCGTCAGGCGGCCTGAGGAGGGGCCGAAGGGGGGGCCAAGCGCCCCAGGTTCCCCCGGGGCCACCCCGGCCTCCCCAGGGGCCCGCACTCACCGAAGTACTCCTTGCGCACGTGCAGCTCCAGCTCCTTTTCCAGCTCCAGCGTCAAGGCCTCCAGTCGCCGCTCCACCTGGCTGGGGCCGCTCTCCCGGGCCGGCGTCACCTGGCAGGGCAGGCGCAGCTTGGCGGGCTCGGCGTCGGCCGGGGGCGCCTCCTCGGGGAGCAGCGAGGCCCGCGGCGAGGGGGCCGACAGCTCCGGGTAGGCGCCCATGGAGCCGCGGGAGCTCCGCGAGCTGTGGCTGGAGAGGCTGGAGCGCGGGCTGGCCAGNGCTGTAAACCTAACCCTAACCCTAAACCCTAACCCTAACCCTAACCCTAACCCTAAACCTAACCATAAACCTAACCATAAACCTAACCATAAACCTAACCATAAACCTAACCCTCACCTTAACTTAAATCGCGCTTCTGTCGGCGCACTGTTGTCGGCGCGTTGATGACGTTGCGTTGATACGTTGCGTTTGAAGCACCGTGGTTTTGTCGGCGCGCTTTTGTCGTGCGCGCATTTGTCGGGTCACGCATAAATCCATACACCTGATATAGGTGTATCTGTTTTATATTATTGCTCTGTACTTCTCTATATCAACCATATCAATAAATTTCTCATTCTCCAAAAGGTTGCCCCAAAGGATCTAGAGCCAGTTTGGTGTAGAGGCTAAGATGCTATCCTAGAAACCAAGAGATCACGAGTTCCAGTTTTCCCTTAGGCATGAAAGGCAGCTGGGTGATTTCAGAATAGTCACTCAGAGCAAGCCACCTCACAAGGTTGTTGTGGGAAGCTGGAACCTTTAGGTATGTATGCCAACTTGAATTGATTAAAAAAAAAGGTGGAATAAAAATCTAATAAATGAACATTATAGTTGTGGGTACAGAAAAAATGGGCTTTGTTAAATGCCAAGCAGAACTCAAACTGTTAAAAGACTAGTGGCTGAAAACAGATTGTTGATGAATCACTAACGGTGCCTACAGAGGTCAGTGTTACAGGGTAAAAAGGACTCACACAAAACTTTCAATGCAGTGACAAATTACTAGAAGGATTGCATCGAAAATTGTTGGCAACATGTCTGAATGCTGTACATGATCACTTTTTCCATTACAAAAACTGCTGGAATGATTTTTTTTTCTCATCCTCTGCACAACAAATGTCTGAATATCCAAAGATGGAATGTAACACTAATCTTACCAGCATCTGAAAACATTTGGTATGAGGGCGGGGGAAGTGGAGAACTTGGGCAAAATATATCTGATCGTAAAGGTTCAATTATTTATTTATTAAATTTATTTAGTCCCAGGAAATGCAATGGCCCATAGGGGAAAGTGCTATAACAGAATTAGATTCCCACTTAGTAGAGTATTACTGTGTCAAGGGACCATGCCCAGAGCAAAATTCACCTGATTACATGCCTGGCTGATTTTCCTATCGCTTAACTTTCTAAATGCGAAGGATGTAGAAATGACTTGGGAGATAGCATATCAGATCACTGAGGACTAATTTTGAACTTGAATTTCTTCTTTGGAAAGCAAGTCCCACCTACCTGTTGAGTAAAACTTTTCTCAAGAGGCTGGTGGTGCTCTGGTATCTGCCATCTATATTTCAATTTTGCTTGTTCACTGCATTTTCCCTGTCCAACACATCCGCTTTGGTTTTTGATTCATTAATTTTCAGATCCATAATTCTAAGTTGCATCAAATGCTCTAGCACATCAATCAGTTTCTGAAGGAAAAACATAGCATCCTATGCTTACTGCCTATTAAATGTATGTACATATCCACATACCCAACCAACACACCTTGTGGTTTTAAACACAAGCATTCCTTATACATTTGTAAAAAAAAATACACTTTTGTATTATACCTATTTGCACTGGCTGCTCAATGTGAACTACTGGATAATCATTTTATTTATTTATGAATTTCATTGTATATTCTTCAATTCAGCAACTTACCCTCCACTTCAAATTCATAAAAAATATTCTATCATTCAATTCTATTCCTCTCATTACATAGTTTTCTAAACCAACTACTATGCTATAAACAGTAAATATTACCTGCACAGATTTCCATCCTGCGTGCCTCAACTATTACTCATTTTCTCTCCTTATACTTTTTGATCAGAAAACTGCTAAATGCCTTCCCAGACACAATTAATAGCAATAGCAATAGCCCTTAGATTTATATGCCACTTTATAGTCCTTTACAGCCCTCTCTAAGTGGTTTATAGAGTCAGCACCGTGTCCATAACAATCTGGGTCTTCATTTTACCAACCTTGGAAGGATACAACACTGAGTCAACCTTGTGCCGGTCAGGATCGAACTGTTGGCAGTCGGCACATTTTTGCATGCAACACTGCATTCTAACCACTGTGCCACAGAGCTCCTTTTACCACACTAAATCGATTAACGTACTAAATCCAATTAACATACTAAATTCAGTTTCAGTTTCAGTTTCAG